ATAGTATGTCGCTTCGGGCTCCTCCTCCGTGTCTTCTAGACCTGATGGGCCCGCCTCGGGGACTTCATCGTCACTTTCCTCTTTGGAGGAGCCGGGTTCTTCATTCGTCGCCTTCGCCACCTCGAGAGTAAGGTCAGACATAGAAACGACTCCGAGGTCTAATTCTGGAAACTTCTACTGCTACATTAGATATTTACATAGCTTGAAGTCGGACCGGTAAGAGCTCAATTCATACTCAACTTGGAGGTTATGGAGCTCTGGAGACTCCTTGAAGATTTCAATGGTGCGCTCCCTCTCTTTAGCTCGCGCCTCTTGAATGGCAGTCTCAAAGATCTCGGTGCGCTCTCGGATCATCGCTTCAAGGTTCTCGTTCTCGCGCTGAACCTTCCCCTTCTCCTTAGTCAGTGCCAGGATCAGCTCTTGTTGACTCCGAGCTCCCTTCTTAGCTCGAAGAACCTCACCTCAAGCTATGTCCAGCTCACTGTAAAGTTTCCTTGCCTTATCCTTGGCCTCCCGAGCTTGCTTCAGGCGGACCTCAGACTAGTAGACCAACGAGTGAATGGCGGAGTTCACCTAGCAAAGGAAGCAGAGGTAAGTACACTTAAAAAACAGACAAGGAAATGAAGTGTAAAGCAAGAATACTCACCACCATGCAATAGCTGGCAGCCCGGCCTCCGAGCTGACTTGTAGGCATGTTGGCCCATTCCGCAACCTCGATAGGAAAAATGACGTCCTTACTCTTGAGGAGCCCAAACTGAGGGGTCATTATACTTTCCTTCGAGAGAAGGGGCTCGGGCGCGGAAGTGCTCTCCGATTTGCGAGGCAAAGCGCCTTCGTCCTGGTCTTCGTCCAGGTCCACAATGGGAGGCTAGGGACGGACCTCCTCTGGAAGCTCGGTTGAGATCGGCTCCGGTGCAGCGACCTCGGGCGAAACAGGGGCAGAAGGATCGGCTTCCCGGTGAGCCTTCTTTGAGGCCTTCCTCTTCTTCCCTCTTTGGAAGCTCTTCAGAAGGTTCTCTGCCTCGACCTCCAGCATGGCTACTACTACAAGAGGAAAAGAAAAGGTTAGTCACAAACTAAAGAAAATTCAAAGTAAATAAATACCGAGGTGGAGGCCTAACAGGAGGGCTCGGTCCAGCTTGCACAAGCTTCTCCTCGGCCAAGAAATCTCTCATCTCCAGGACGAGGTCCCTCCAGGAGTTGACGACCGCCCTAGTCTCCGCATCTAAGCTTACCTCGGGGTCTTTGATAGCCACCCTCCAGTGAGTCGGGAAGGGCCATCCCTTAGGGTTCCAAACAAAAAAGTATCTTCTCTTCCAGGCCAGTAATTTATTCGGGCTGCCAAATAGGATTTTAAACCCGAGCCGAGGAGAGATGTAGTAACTTTGTCGGACTTCCCCGCGCAGACAAGCGAAGTTTCTTTTTGATTGAGCAGATCAAACTAAAGACGTCTTAGGACAGAGGTCGGTTATACTCGTGGAACAAGGAGATGGTACCTACTATAGTTCGGATGGAGTTCTGGTGTAGTTGGTCGATGGCGATGTCAAAAAACTTGATTATTTCTATAATAAATGGGTGGAGCGGGAAGCGCAACCCGACTACAATCTGCTCTTCCAAAACCGCGAGCTCATGGTGACCATAAACCCAAGGGTACTGACCTAAAGGGATACTGAAGACTAGGTTATCAGGAAGACGATAACGAGTTACCAAGGATAACAGCCTGTCTGAGGTCATAGTAGAAGGCCCGAAGTCATCCGGATCCCGACCCCGAAATCATCTGGTCCCTCCTCCCGAGCTTCGGGCTCCTCAGGCCGAGATGGCCCAACTTCAGGTAAAGAGGTTTCCTCTAAGGGGCGAAGGGGGGAGCTACCTAGCGAAGAACTGACCTCGCCAGCGGGAGCTGAGGACTACACCTCGGCACCCTCGAGCTCACTAGAATCGCCAAGGAGCCTATCTATGGTAGCACTAAACATGTTAAAACAGGAACAAGAATGGAGAACAAACTAAGAAAAGACGAACTCACCAAAAGGAAAACAACCTTGGAATACAAAGAAGGAAGTAGCGAGCTGAAGGACTCCAGCGCGACCTCGGGAGAGCTCAATCATAGGATTTTTGGTGAGGAAGAGGGGTCCCTCAGCCCCCTATTTATAGTTCACCGTAAGGCGATCAACGACTTAGACCTGCTCGATCCAACAGCTCTCATGAAAACCGATTGCACGATGCCCGAGGATGAAATTGGTTGAGCGCGTTTTTGACATCCGCAGAGTCCATAAACAGCGTGACGTCTGAGCGTACACCTGACACGACCTGGGTTATTACTGGTTGAGCCGGAAGTCCGAACAGATCCGATAAACCTTCTAGACCTCGTGCCAAATCCACTTGGACTCGTTATGAATTCCCCGCACCGGGTCAAAACCCCTGGATTGGGGAGTGGGGGGCAATTGATGAAGGGTGATTTGATCCGATCTAATAAAAAGGGGATACGTGGATGCGACTTGACTAAGAGATAACAACTCATCCTGACATGCCTAGTTTGCAACAGTTGAGCTTGGACACCCAACCACCTTGGCACAGGGTCACTTCGGGACAAGGTCGCCTCGGAACAAGGTCACCTCGGGACAAAGCCACCTCAGCTCCAAGGCACTTTGGCATTCAGTCCAGTTTGGAACTAAAACTTATCAGTTCAGGGATACCGACCAAGACCATTACGTGACGATCCCGAAAATCTCTCCAATAGACCCCAAACCTCACGGGATCACGCCGCATAACGGCAAGCCTGTTCACCTCCCCTTCCGGTTCAGGAGGAATTGATAAGCTTTACCAGTTGATGGCGTTATCTCCCAATTAAAGCGGAAATAGATCCCATCATGACGGAGATCACAGAACCGATCCACAAGACCCACGAGGACTCAACTATATAAAGGCTCCAACCCCGCGGGCACAAGGTAAGCGTGATTTCTCTGCTCTCTAGCTCTCTGGCTCTCTACATTCTCAAAGCTATTCAGCTCGCAACAGCTTACTAACATAAGCATCGGAGCGACATCGCCGAACTAGCCACCCCGGATTCTCTGATCTTGTTTTGCAGATTTACTTAGCTCGCCGTCCAATTGAAAACCAGATCACCCTCCAATAGGGAACAATCAGATCGCGCTACATCGGATTAAAATTGGGAATGAAAAAAAAAATCAAAAGAAAAGAGAAAAATTAGAATGAATATTTGGAGCAAGGAGAGGCATGTAAGGTGGAAAACATAACTCTAGTAATATAGTATAGATAGTACTCATAAGAGAAGTGTTCTTTTTGTCACATGGCAAGGTTGCCTTCTAACTAAATTATAATCCACTCAAATATACGTTTAACCGATCATAGTAACTAAATGATGAGCATGGGACTGAGATGCCACTGGACTGGTCCAGGGCCCTTGGCATATGATATAAGAACCGTATATGAAGCCCCCATTATTTTCCTTTTTTTATTTTAAATAAATAACACTTACTTTCATGGGTTATCTTCTAGTCTTCTACCTTATGTATTCTTACTTTTGATTAGTATATTAGCCAATTCATTTCGAACAGCTTATCCAAAATGTATATCCTTCGAAAATTTAAATTATCACATAAATTTCATTTTATATATAATTTAAGATTTTCTTGTCTGCATGTTGAATTCTCCCAAAACCTCAAATGGATAGCAGAAAATCATTTGGTTTGGACTGCAGTATTTCAAACAATTCTCTCTCTCTCTCATGGATACACCATTTAATTGGTTGAAGTTAGGATTCTTCTTGCAATAGATTTTGACTAACTCTAAACCTACATTATTGATATTTTTTATTTTTTTCCATACATACATACACATATGTGTATAAAGAGAGAGAGCTTGGAACAATCAAAACTTGTGATAAATTTAGATGAATATCACCTGATTGGTAATTACCACTTTTTATGATATTGGTATTTGGTAAATTTGATTGATTATAAGTTTTTCCGATATCATGTCCTTTGAATATCATAAGAACATCCAAATCTGATCTAATTACTTAAAACTTGAATATGAATTGTATTACATCTAGGAGTGTTGCATTGATTTTGGATCATCTTAAAATTTAACCTGAATTTGCTTCATTATCTATACAAAATTTAATCGAATTCACATCTTTGGATGTGGCCAAATCTGCACCCAATCCAAATTGGATAGGCACATCAACATGTTTACACCAGTGCCATAAACTACTGAATACTTTTCTTCTTCATTCGCTAAGGTTTGGTAATTAATTTTTCTGATGTGGCAGTAATTTTTGTTTCCAAGAAAACTAACCATGCTGTCGAACACCCCCTGTAAGCACTGCGGACTCCATGAACATGGTGGTCAAGTCCCCGAAGGTATATATGAGAAATGGTGAAAAAGTGAATACATAGAGAGAGAAAGAAGAGAGAAGGTCCCTATTTGGGTATGGGCCCTTTATTTATATTATTCCTCCCCTCTAGAATGTCCTGGTGTGGCATTCCTTATTTTAAGGATTTATCTCCCTTTTGTAGTTAAGTGTTCATGGGGCATTTTAACTGCAAAATAGAGATAAATCCTTAAAATATGGAATGCCAAATATTGCAGCCTAAGTCATGATAACTCTGACAAAATGACTTGGCCTATTGCCTTGGGTTGGACTGGGCCAACTCGGTCTGAGCTTAAGTCGAGTCAACAAAGTCTATGGAGCTTGGGTCTACGGGGTTTTATTGGCCTATGCTCTTACTCCCCCCATCCCCGCCCCCCTCCAAATTATCATTAACTTGAATTCTAATTTGGGAATCTAAAATAATTAGATAAATAATGTTTATATTACAGCACTACAATTTGGAGAAACCTCCTTACACTTTGGATTTATTTACTGTTACAAATTAAATCAAACCACAATATAAATATTTTAGTACGTACAATATAATATAATTTTTGTGTCATCCCCAAACTGATCATGATTCATGTACATATGTGTGTTCATGTTCCTACAGACAACTGGTTGGTTGAACCAAACCAGAAACTTTTCCTCCTACATTTGTACAGGATGACTTTGCTGCTTGGTTTGCATTATTATAAGTAAGCTTTACATCTTCGACTGTGATCGCTGTGCATGGATTCTTGGGGCTACAGTCAAACTTCACAGCAATTTGTGTTGCCGATGTTCCACGGATGTTTTTGTACGCCACCTGGCTAATTTTTACCCCTGAAACCTGTGATGAGTACGTATTCCATTTGTCTTATTAGTTGAATATGAATGAAAAAGATGATCAAGTGAGGCTGTACGTATTTGCCTATTTATAACTAATGAAACAGCTACCTGATTAGGGCAATTCTTTTGACGAGGGCAGTAGTTTTGGTCAATTATGATGGGGTTTTTGACATTGTTCATGATGGCGTCTTCGAAAAGGACTCCTTTCACAAATGCATTACTGGGTCTTGCCCATGTCTTAATCCTTAGCCCGTTATCAGTACCAGACAAAGTAACGGTTTTAACTGTCACATTTTGAACTCCAACTTCGTTGAAGCTCTTGCCTAGACTTCCAATGCTGCAGCAAGAGGACCATATGTACACATAGTTACGTTCATCAGTGATCCACCAAGCTTTGAGAGAGAGAGAGAATCATGATGAGACGTATATATATATATATATATATATATACTACATCGCCTACCTGATGCCATGTCCAGGTCCACATTCAACGTTCTGTATCCACAGGTTTGTTGTAGCAGGGCCAATGGAGATGCTGTCGTCCCCGGTCTTGATGCTAGAGCTCAGGATGGTGACGCCCATCGACGATTCTACATGAATGCCGTCGGTATTTGGACTATCGCCTGAGGCTGCAATCTTAACTCCTCGCATGTTGACATTCCGGCAATTGTCGATCACAATGTGGAATAACTGGCTGTTGATGGAAGACAATCCATTGATCACAATGTTCTTCGAGCTCTCAAATGTTAAAGACTGCAATCACAATATATGTAAATTTAACAAAAGAAAAAGGAGATATATATATCAACCCCAAAGTAGGGGGTGTAAGCGAAGCAAAATCAGTTGATGTTTGAATCGAATATAATCAAATCTCAAATTCAAACCCTATTCTAAATAATCTTGCTAGCTTTTTGTTTTTCGAAACTCAAAACAAGTTTAATTTTCACAAAGCTGCAGACCTTGGCTCCTGTGGGACAACTCTTCCCACTAGTTTTGCAATCCCACAAAGAAGAGCCTTGGCCATCAAGGGTCCCTCCGTAGATAGAAACGCCATTAACATCCTGGAATCGAAGCCAGTAATCTGAGCTACCAAGGACACGGTAGTCGGATGGGGCCATGAGCGTTCCATCTATACGTATTTTGATGTCATTATTCCTGCAATCTTTCCCGTCGAAGACAGAACGGTTGAGCAAATATTTTCCGGGTGGCACATAAATCATGGCTGAACCGACTGACGCACAAGCTCTAGCCCATGCCTTGAGGAACGCTTGGGTTGTGTCAGTTTCGCCACCAGCTTTGGCTCCTAAACTCACCACATTATAGCTCGAACCTGCATATGATGAATGGAAGAACACGAGGGAGAGAATAGAGACAATAAGAAAAGCAATGATGGGCTTCAACATTTCGATCGAGAGAAAGAGACTAAGAGAGTCGAAACTGTTAGATAAAGGCTTTAATTTGTCGAGTTGAATTCTGAGAAATCAATGGAATTGAAAGAAAAATGCAGCACTATGGGCTATTTATAGAATTTGACTTGATAGGAGTCGTAAGGTAAGCTTACTGATGTGATATATAGGAATTTGAGACATATAATTAGCTACAGCCAAGGCAGGTGTTGGTATGATAAGAAATTAAGAAACTTTTAGGAGATTAATGAATCAATTCAATTTGAACACTTAAAGCCTTAATTGGTCAAACTCTCAAATGTGATAGGAGTATCAGTGTCACGTTTGAGAGTTTGATCAATCAAAACCATCCCCGTGAATTCTAGTCAGCTCGAACTCCCAGTGAGAAGTTTAATTAGTTTGAAGAGGCGTAATGCATGAGACATGTGGTATGAAGCTGCTGGGCCGGCCGCTAATAGGTAGCTCAGTTGATGGGCAACTTCAACAATCACGGGATTTGTATTTCATATTTCATATATTTAGGCTGCTATGTGATTCCTTGATTGCCATAGCAGGTATCGGGTCTGATTTTTCATTTCTTCATTTTGACTTTTCCAGGTGACGTTTTCTGTTTTCGGGGATTTGAATGCAGGTTTCCTGTAAATGTTTTTTTATTTTTTTCATGTGGGCATGCATGCAAATATGCAATAGCCCACATGTGATTATATCCTGTTGCATTAGCACTTTAATCTTCTCCCTGTGGGCATGTTTTTCATCAGGTTTAACTGCACCAAAACAAATTGATAATTGGTGGTTTGGTCTGGTCTAGCCTTAAAATGGTTTGGTTCGACTTAAGAAGTCCTCAAACCGTCATTTTTACTTTGATCTAGTTTGCTAAATTTTAGAAACCAGATCAAACCATAAACCATATTAAATCGAAATATTAATAATATATTTTATTAATGTATATGATATATCTACATTATTATTAAAAGTTTGAATCAGGTCTAGATTCTAGCTTTTTTTTATTAAAATACCCTTACTCTTTGAACTTGGTCTCCCTATATTTATGGGGGGGCAAAAAACTTAATTTGAACTACTACTTCTATTAAATTCACTATATTCCTCCTCATTAAGTCCTATATTTAAGGTATTAAGTTCAATTTCCTTTCATTAAATCTTATATTTAAAGCACATTAAATAAATGAACTGTGTGTACATTTCTTGACTAAAACATCCCTATTTATGAATTTAATCCCTCTTTTAACTATGTAGGCAAAATATGTAATTTAAAGTACTATATATTACTTTCTACTTCATACTTCATTAAATTTCCTCTCATCAAGGTATTGTTTCTCACAAATAAATTCAACAAATTAAGTATATATCTAATATTTTTAATATTGTAAAACCTATGTTCAAAACTAACATGAAAAATAATTAAATAAACCACCATTTTGTCTAAGTGGCAAGTAAATAGTTCAGCCATTGGCGTCAAATGGGTCAACCAATGTTCCCATAGTTAAATAATAAAAATTTAGAAATAAATATAAATATTACAAAAAGTATAAAAAGTTGTGAAGAAATTTTAGCACATCTCTAATATTATCTATTTATCATATCAAACAACATTAAACATGCTAAATAAAAGTGTTTTTATTTGATGGAAATGAAATACAATTTAAAACTCATCCAAAAACAAAACCATTTTCCTATCGTGTGGTCGATCAATGATTTAACCTTTTAGGTCAAATGGATCAACCCATGGTATCATAAATAAAAAATAAAAGTTTAAGATAGAGAAACAAGAAATTATTAAAAACATAGAAAATTTGTAAAAACACATTTGGGTGCATCTTTAATATTTTGTATTCATTATATTAAACAAAAATGAATGTGATAGATAAGAGTCATTTTAAATAATGATAGAAATAGAATTAAAAACTAAACTAACTTAAAATGAAAATTGTTTTTATATCTAATTAATGGCCAATGGTCCACAGGGAGGCAAATTATGTGGGCTTAACTCGAGTTCAAGTCAAGATAGCTTGTAATTTTAGATAGCCTAGCTTTGATCTTTGGTCCTCGACTTGGATGTAGGCATAGGTTTAAAAGTTTGGGCTTTTCTATTTTTTTAGGTTGGGCTAAATCTATACTTTCGGTAGCTAAAGTCAAGCCGGATTATATACATACAATTATAAATACATATATAGCACATATTTTTGCTTACATGCATGCATATACAATTATACACATCCATTTGATGTCAAATTTTGTTATAAGGTTAATGATAGATCCAAGTCCAAGACTAATCTTAGTGCATCAAAATTTCAATGCAGGTTGGAGGTTGGGCCCAAGTTAAATAGGATTAAACTTAACTTTGCTCTAAAGCTGGCCTTAAGTCCAATGCATAGGGTTGGGCCTGGGTTAAGCTTAAATTCAGCCCATCCTACTTGACCTGCACCATAATGGTCCAATTGCTTTGGTAAGTAAGTTAACCAATGATATCATAATTAAATAATGAAAATTTTAAAAATATATAGAAAGACAAAAAAATAAAAAATATATAAAAATTATAAAAAATTTAAAGTTGCCCATAAATGGAATGAAAAATAAGTGTGATAAACTAGAATTATTCTTAGAATTAATTATGTAAATGGAATGAAAAATTTAAAGTTGCCCACCATGTCATTTTTAAAATACCTATACTACCCCTATTTGAAATAAGGGATTTTTCACCAAACATTCATGAACATTTATTAAAATAAACACTCCCAAACTTCACCTTAAATTTATGGGTAAATTGCATATTAGTACCTTGTACTTTGGGGTTAGTCTCACTTTAGTACTCGAAATTCAAAACATGTCACTGCAGTACTTGAACTCCCAAAAACTATCAGTTTAGTCCAAAATTGTTAATTGTCATTAAGTGGCATGTAAAAGGATAAAAATGCCCTTTAGATGTCATCTAATTTTCTTTATCAACCAGTCATATTGAACTTACCTTATCCTACCGCTCATCTCTTTACAATCTCATAGCTAAAGAAGACCATTGCTAGAGATAGTCGACGGACAACAACAATATTTCTTGCCTTTCTTTTTTTTTTTACTTGTTTGATGCTTCTTCTACTGATAATGAAGCTCATGCTTCATAGGCAGCAACGAAAATTATACTAAGAATTGAAAAAAAAACAAAAAAAAAAAGGCAACTTAAGGAATTTGGTGGAAACATTAAGGCTGTGTTTGGAAATGATTCAAAAGCCCGTTCAAAACATTTATGTGTCGTGGCTTGATTTTGCAAGAGGTTGGTAATGTTACACTTACATCTGTGCAATGTTCAATAGTGAGATTTTGCATTTTCCGATAGTTTTTCATCGAAGAAGAGGGGAAAGTATGTATCCATTCTTTTGGATACAAACTTTTAATTATACTCTCAATCTCTCATGTATCACCATTGCTGCCAAACCCATGCCAACGGTAAGTTCCCATCTCTCATTTCCGACCTCAACAGCCCAGGAGCAAGTGCTATGCTCCCATGCATAGAGGAAAACAGAAACAGCGTGAGATTTTCAAACTGAGATTTTTGTCATTCTTCTGCAACTAGAGGTAATTGAATTCTCAGTTGTCTTATTATTTTTACTGACTCTTCTTCTCAAGATTTGGTTATTTGATCATTTGACATTATTTTCTGCTAAATTCAAGTAGCTTTCATGTTCAAATCTAAGATTAAGAAGATTTAGTCTTCCAAGAAGTTTGCTTGTGGATCTAAGGTCAGGTTCACAATGTTCTTAGAACATAAACCCACAGCATGGATCATATTCACATATCTGAGGTTAAGAAGATTTGAGATCATGTTCACACAGCATGGAGCATTGGGTTTAACATGGAGTTTTTTGCCATCATCCATGCTGTAAGAAAGGAATCTACATAGTCTATCTATCCAAAGGAAAATTCTAAAATTCAGGAGAAATCTAATTTACTGATGATGCATGCAAGGAGTGATAGGTTCTGATTTGATAATCTTTCTTCAACTATAGTGTAGAGCAAACAAAGGGACCAGAATTTGTAACCATGTATGGATTGAAGGAAAATGTTAGGCAACACTCCAACACATATGGCTTCATTCTACTATGACAATCAACTCCTCACTTGGAGTAAATTGACCTTCCCTCTACTTTCATGGTAAAAGGTACCAATAGTATAATTGTTTTTAAGGCAACTAAGTCAACTTGGACACTCGATTCTAAAAGTTTCCACATAGTCAAGCTCTATTTTTATGGTGAGACTATCATCTCTGATCACCCTTGTTCTCCCTCTTCTTTAATCTTCTTCAACTCCAACCACCCCTTCCTCTATTACCTCGACCCCTTCTTGATCCTATCTCCCATTTTTCATTTTCCTTTACCGACATTTTCATACAAATAGCAACAAAAATGCATATGATTGTGTTTGATTGCAGTGTAATTTTATTTGCATTAGTACAAATTCATGAAAGTACAAGTGCAAATTCTCATTTATTTTTTTTTGGGGTTTTATTTTATTTTGCTTCATATGTTAATTTACTTCATTTGTATTGCAATTAAACAAAATAAGCTAAAATTTTAAACAAAAATAAGTGAAAATTTACAGTACTCAAATCATTTGTACTTCCATAGTTTTGTATTAGTACAAATTTATTTGCATTGCAACTGAATACAACCTATGAGTTTTGAAGAAATGCAGTTTCCTTCTATCCCCTGCTCTTTTAAATTTATTGGAAGTTATTAGGTGCAATTTACATTCTATCCCCTGCTCGTTGTGGTTTTTTCAATAAGGCATGAAATGCAGTTGCTTTCTTATATACTTGCATTTTCATTCAACAATGTTCTCTGTTCTCTTCATTCAACGGCCAAACTTGAATGAAAACAGGAAAAAACCCAAACATTTAACATTCTGAAGAAAATGATAATTTTGGCATTTAAAAAAAAAATTAAGTCACACATGCCATCATGTGATATAAATAATTGTGAATTATTAATGACGGATATTAAGCTGATTATAGTTTGGGGGAAATGACAAGTTTTAAAATTCAGTTACTAAAATGAGAGTGTGAAACTAGCCCCAAAATACAAGGTAATAATCTACAATTTATCCTAAATTTATTAAAAGAATATTAGAGAAAAAAAGATATGCATATTTTCATTCTACAAATTTCCACATTTAAATATTATTGTATCTATTGGCCAGAGTTGGATCCAACTCGTCATCAGGGTTATAATCTTTGGAGCCAAGTTAAATCAATTTAATTCGGGTTTAGTATTTTCGGTGCTAGGCATTATTACGGCATGACTTGGACCAATGTCAGGCATTGTCAGCTTGATACATGAGCCTCACACTTACAAATTACAATTTCCCATCTCAGAATAGGGAAACTATTTTCCCAATTTACAACAATTCACTCCACCTATAAATACCATCCCCCCCTGAATTTGGCATCTTTCCCCCTTTACATTGATTCAAACGGTACGATGAAGCTGTTAGACAGTTTTGTATGCCCTCAGCTTCAATCAGAATGATGTACTTTATGAGTTTATTGTAAATGAATAAAAGTGCATATTTGATTCATGTTCCATTTGTATGTTTCTGTGTAATACTTTTAAACTGTACACTTATTGAGACTCGTGTTAGTTTAGAACGTTCACAGCCAGTGGGTCGGTCTGGGGAGACCTATCCTGACAAGGCTAACACTATGGTGCCACCAAGCCGGTTGGGGTGGCCTGTCTCAGCTGCCAGGGTGAGACCCTAGGCACATACAGTGTAGGATTAATTGAATCT